GTTGATCAGATAATGATCGATTGGCACCAGTTGAAGTGAGTACATTTAAATCTTTCTCCTTGAACCGCTGTCTAAACGCGAGGGAATGCAAGATTGTCGAAGACAACCTAGGCACTTATCGTTATGGAAACAGCGCTTTAATTCTGGTTACAATGACGCATTGAAATAATTACACTGAGATGTTATCATGTTCTGATTCTTGGTTACATTTCAGTTACGGGATATCCCGGAACTGAAGCAGGGAAAGAAACGAATGTTGTCAGCAGTGCATGTAGTCGCCATAAACGAGTTGTTTTGAGCTTGTGTTCATGGCGGATGCTGCCGCTTGCTTAACGAACTATTTTCTTAGAAGCATACACAAAAGATTTGGAATTGCATTGCAAAACATTCCAGAAAGAACAGAGAGAATTTTGAATTAACCTTCCGTTACTCAAATTTAATAGTGCGCAATGAATATAGTCATTTCAAGGACTACTAAGGACTGTTTTGAATGCCTTTCAAAACAACGGGAACAAACAAGGGAATAAAGACAGCAAGGATGGGAATTTTCTCAGAAGACAAAGGTTAAAGAGATTGGCAGATTTGTTTTCTATGAATCTGACCCACGTCTAATTGACCCAGGAATCTAGTTCTGTCTATTGTAATCCTATTAGGAAAATTCTTCAAGGACTTGTCTTGTGTTATAAGACCCTTGTAAGACTTGTAAGAAGTTAACAATTTCGCCGAATATGATTTCCGAAAGATTTCTTTCTAATCAGTCTAAAGATTTGTTTCTAATCCTTTCGTCCGTGTGTTAAGGATGACATCGGCAGGAATTGCTTGTTTTATTGATAACTGTGAAATGCCGACGAAATTAAATGACTTTGGGTTTTCATAATTACAGCATTTTTTTGAAATCTTTAAATGATATGAGAGTAAATGTTGCCACGAATGCAATGAGGATTTATTTTTATACAGATGACAAATGTTGGCATGAATAGAGTATAATAAGTAATGTGAAACTAATACGCTGAGGAACGCATAAGACTGCTTAAAGTATTCCGTGATGACTGCTCATCGAAGATTTATGACGACACTTTCGTGTGTTTGCAAATTTTTTCGAACATTCCTTAAAAAAGACTGTGTACTTATTTTTTCGTAAGATAGGTCATAGCGAGTGTCGCAACTGTAGCTAAAGGTAATTTTTGATGTTTTGTGTAATAATCGGTGTTGACATAAATTAACATTTTGCCGACGCGGAACAGAGAACTGGGTGCTAACGTAGTACGCAAAGGCTCATGGTTAGTACGTTTGTAAAAAGAGACGGTTGAGAAACTTGTGACATTCTACGGTCAGCCTTGCCACTAGCACTTTAACATAAGGTTTATTTTTATTGTATAAATAACGTTATTTGATTTATCTTTCATTCTGTTGTTTATATATCAACCTTAAAACCTCAAAGGTGATGCCACTGCATTTGGTCGGGGGCACACGGTCCCTGTTTTTCCTAA